GCTCTGTTGTGAGCAAAGCTTTCGATTTAAGCCGTCGATCTAAGTTCCCAACCACATCTATGGTCATGAGCTTTGGGTCATGACCGAAAGAATGAGATCCCGGATCTGGGGAGGACTCCTGGGATTCATGCGGGGAGGACCCGAAGTAGAGCTGCTGCTCCTCCACATCGAGATGAGCCAGTTGAGGTGGCTTGGGCATGTGGTTAGGATGCTTCCTGGACATCTCCCTTGAGACGTGTTCCAGCTATGTCCCACCGGGAGGAGGCCCAGGGGAAGACCCAGGACACGCTGGAGGGACTATGTTTCTCTGCTGGCCTGGGAGCGCGTCTGGGCCTCCCTACTAAAGCTGCTACCCCCGCGACCCGACCCCGGATAATCAGAAGAGAATGGTTGGACGGATTATTTTCCACATGTATACAATTTTCAGATGCACTCTTTTGAGTTCTCATCTTTATGAAACGGGCCTGTTTACCGCCCTATAGATCAGACATCTTTCTGAATCAGACCAGGGAATTGTACCCAGGCAGAGTTTAAGACCAAGCAGAAGATGTGAGGGAAGGGCAGCATATTTGATTAGTAGAAGAAAAACTAATGAATATCTCCAAACTGGTGGTACGATCCGTACCATGACTGCTGTTATTTTGGGGTTTTATTTTTGTATTTCGCTACACTTGTAAAGTATATACAGGATAATCTAAAGGACATAAAACACGGGTGAAAATGGTGGCTTTGTTTTTCCTGGGTTCTGAGCATGTTCGGTGATGATGTCAGACATGCGATATAACAGAAATGATGGGAAGCATTGATTCTCTCAGCAAAGTCAGTGTTCTTTGATGTCTTTATGTAACTAAGGATAGAGAACTGTACTCTGAGCACATTTATGTAATCAGCAGTGATCCGGATCGGTTTGTGGGAGCATGAGGCGGATCGAGCTTCCAGTACAGATCGGTTAGCAACAAACACCAGACATCTGGTGTTTTGTACGTTTTGTATTTTGTCTCAATCAGTACCACAACAGAGCAATACTGCCCCCTTCTGTCAACCACCCCTATAACATGTGCCTCAATGCGTGGCCCTTTAACCAGGAGTGGTTCCTGCTGGGAACATCTTCACATCTGGGCCTCCTCCCAGTCCACCTCAGGTCCATCTGATACTGGGAACCAGAACCTGCTGACGATGACTCTCCTCCTCTTCACTCTCACATCTGGTTGGCTGTATGTGAGAGGCTGTCAGAGGGAGTCAGCAGGTACTGAAAAATTGTTCAACCGCGTTGCCGTGGCAACAGAGCATGTAGATCAGTTTTTTTTCTTTTTTTTAAACACGCACACACACATTGTGACACAGAGAGGTTAGCACAGGATTCCCTGCTAATCCAGTTTCTATGACAACTCACAACTCGGTCTTTTCTCTCCGTCTGCCTCGCTTTCATCCTCAGCTGTGATGGAGCCAGACACAAACTTCTGACTCCATCTGCAGCGCCGCTGTTCAGCTAGTAATTATCAACCGAGCAGATTAATAAAAACGATAATTAAAAGACGTGGTAATGTTTCGTTGTTGTATCGGATTCCTGCAGCCTGCAGGGAGGAAGCTCCGGGGCCGACCCGGTTCTGCTGCAATGGAGGTTTTATGAGCAAATTACTGAACAGTTCATATGTTGGCAGTAAGCAAGTTATTATTGGCCGAGTTGCTCCTAAATCAGAGGTGATGCAGTTCTGTGAGAATATTTGAGAGGCTGAGATGAAGGGAAAAGTTCTGGATTTTAATACTGTTTGGACATCTTGGCTGTTCAGAGGCTCCAATGCTGGTTCCTCTGCAGGACTTTCATTTAACGGCGTTGTGTTATAGAGGAGGAACCCCTGGTGCAGCTCCTCCAGTGATGCTGCTGGGTTCCTCTCGTTCCATCTTCTACTTCTCAGTGAAATAAAAACAGCATTGGAAGCTGTCGTGCTACTTTGGCTGTCTTCATGCTGCATTTCTAAAACACTTGTAAATCTCTAAAAGTAGCACTGAGTAACCTTTGACCCCTAGTATGGGCTTAATTTGAAATATATTACAAGACTTTTTTCAGGTTAATAAATATGAGTCTTGTTCCAATATTGCTGCTACAAAGCACAATTTTTTTTTAATTGAAAATTTGAAAAAAATGCAACTTTGAAATGAAACTTTTGACTGTTTTGAGAAAAACGGATTTTCTTTCTCTGATTTTTTCTTCTGTTAAAAAAAAAACAGAAGGAAAAATACAATCTATGACACCCAGCAAAGTTATTCTGCAAAACAATTGACGTTTTTGAAAGATTCACTTTTGGATTTACTTTTTCTTTTTTCACATTACCATTTGATGTTTTCTTGTATGAAACAACAATGAAACTAAATTCACTCCATAAATATTCAGCTCTTGGTGCAGACTGCTCTTCTCAGAAACTCACCTGTGCAAGTCTGAGCTAACTTAACTAAAATCTGTTAGCCTACCAAACCGATCAGACGTATTTCTGGTTCTCTGATGTAGGATTTCATCTAGAGGAGGGATGCTGCTTTGAATTTACTCCATGGCTTCTCGGTCTGCTGGTCCAAAATGATCGGCTATCAGAACCAGAACACTGTGGCAGACCAGTTCATTAAGAGCCGATGCAGTGCTGCTAGTGGCCTATAGGGGCGCTAAACCTGGCCAAGCTGTGTGATGGTGGCAGAAAGCTGGAAAAAACGCAGCCACTTCTATGAGTACTCCCAGCTCAGACAGTGAACTACAGCACAGTTTTTTCACTAATATTTAAACAACATACCTTCGCTTCATCTGACATAGACGCTGCCATAAGAGGAGACGCTAATTTTCGATATATGATTGAGGTGAAACGAGAACACAGCTTTTGTTGACTCAAATTAAATTACATTTAAAAACTAAAACCAGTTCCTGTCTGAACTGTGCAGTTCTTTTAACTCTGGATAATGTTCATCGTCTTTAAAAATGGTTCCAAAGGCGCTCTGATCCTCTTTGTCTGAAGCCACAGGACGTCTATCCAGCCTCCTGGTTACATGATCATCATGTAATCATCGTACATTTAGTCATTTACTGGAAACATTTATTGCTTTGTTTCTTATCCAACATCCTCATGTTAAAAATCGATCATCTTCTCCGTTTCTTGTCTTGTTTCCGCCTTCGAATGTCAAGCAGTTCATCAGTTTACATATACATCTTCACACAACTGCTATATGTTTTTTTTGGCAGTCATTTAACCCCATATGTATCGGCTGAGCTACTAGTTAAGATGGTCTAACGGCTGATGGATGCCTCTTTATCTCTTGACCCTTTCAAACCTCATTTAGCCATTTAAGTTTCTTCTCTAAAGTTGTTTGACTCTATTGTTGTTTGGAGTCTTATTGTGATTATTAAGTCAAAATGATTCTTTATATAATTCATTCCCTTTTATTGGTTTCTTTCATTTGTGTTTCTGAGATGCGGCTGTTGACCCTTGAAAATGAGACCTTGCCTTTTTTTCCCCCCTGGAAAATAAAGGTTAAATATAATTTTCAGCTTAATAGAGTAGAAAAGAATGTTCCTTTATTTTATTGCCGGAGTGGAAATGTACTTTAGCAGCATTAGAGTGAGTTACGAAACCTACATGTATAATTGTTGGGAAAAGCAGCAAAACATCTGTTGGTAGGAAGGATCTGTGATAATGCTGCTTTGTGCACATAAGGTGCAGCAGTCTGTCACTGAAGGAGTTCTCCACCCATCATCAGCTTCATGCCCCTGCATGTACGTGGGTCATGGAGCTAATGGCTGGCAGCCCAGGGCCTTAAACATCACCTGCAGTCGGATTCATGTGAAAAAGTTTCTTGGTAAATCGAAGTGACACGGCTTGTCTCTGCAGGCGTTGAGCTGATGGGGGAAAACAGGATGTGATGAAATGTCTGGAGGTTGGGACAGAATCCCTCGCAAAGGTTGTCCTTCTGGAGCGGACCAGCTGAGGTGTCAAATATCTGCTGAGAGATTCATCAGTGGGAGGATTTCAGACGCCTGTCTGTCTCTCCTCGCAGACAGCAGGATAAATAAAACCGTTTATTCAGTGACTAATCATTAATTTATGGAGGGGAAAAAAACAGAGCAGTTTCCCTGCAGGCATTTTTAATGTTATCTATGAAATAAATAAAACATTTCTATACAGAGTGAGTTATCCCAGAAGCTGCAGCTTTTTCAGTTTTCCAGGAGGAATGAAAACATTTCCAGGCCCAAACGGAACCAGAGCTTCGTCCTTAACGTTGCCTCTCTGTCCTCCAGCCACATGCCTCTGAGTCCGACCGCTGACACCAAACATGATCGCCCGCGGCAACAGGCGGTTACTAACGGCAACCCAACAGGCTCTGCTGTCGCCAGGGACGACGACGGGGAGGACACGCCCCCTGGAAACAGCATTGTGGTCCGAATCGGGATCCCGGACCTGCAGCAGACGGTAACGCGCTCACAGGAAGGCAGCGAGGAAGGAAACATGGATCATGAAACACGGCACAAACCTGTCTATGTGTCTGTCCGCGTCTTGTCTCTTTCTCTGTCCGTCCTTCTGTCTGTCTCTCTGGCTCCGGCTCTCTCAGAAGTGTTTGCGGTTGGACCCAGAGTTACCAGTTTGGACCAGTAAGCAGAGGGTTCTGGTGACGTTGACTCAGTCTCTGTCGGATGTTTTGAACTATGGTCTCTTCCAGCCGGCGTTCAACGGCCGAGCCGGAAAGTTTCTGGACGAGGAGCGCCTGCTGAAGGAGTATCCTCTTCCCCCCATCACTCCCATCCCGTATCTGGAGGTAAACGCCACCAGAACTTTTCATCACAGACTAACGGAACCTGTAGTAGAACAAAATAGGCCTGAAAGAAACTGAGATTTTATCAACTTACTGAACATTTATCAGACTTTTTTTCTCATTTAAATGGATCCAAATTAACAATTTTGTGACCAGAACCAATATTTCTATAATTCTGTTGAAAACATCATTAATTTTACTGATAAAAGCAGCAATAAAAAAAAAAGAGGTAAAAGATGTTTTATTTTCTCCAGAAAAGTGTTTTTCTAAATATTCCAAGCATTCAATAAAATGATTTAGGACTTTAACTTTAGGATGATCCCACATCATTAACCCTCCGCCGCCGTGCTTTACAGCTACACTAAGATGTCGGTTCTGTAGCAAATTTTTTACCCTGAATTCATCACATTTTCTCCCATTAACGAACCGTCACAAATGTCTTTGAGAATTTATGACATTTTAAGGAATAAAAGTGAAATTATTTGACAACTAGAGCATAAATGAATGTCTGTAGAATTCAGCCACACCTGAGTCACGACACGCCCTCTGCAGAAAATCTACACACTGAGCCCTCTATGCACAGCAGCTCCACCTCTCTGGACTTTAACTAGGCCATTCTCACTCATCTGCTTTGATCTAAACCAGGGGTGTCCAACTGGTTCCAGAAAGGGCCGTGTGGCTGCAGGTCTTCTTTCCAACCAAGCAATAGCACACCAGACTCCAGTCATCTAATCAAGTGAGTCCAATCTGAACATGATGACTTGATGAGATGAATGAAGTGTGGTGTGCTATTGCTTGGTTGGAAAGAAAACCTGCAGCCACACGGCCCTTTCTGGAACCAGTTGGACACCCCTGATCTAAACCATTTATCCTTCAACAAATATGATCAATAATAGAGCTCTGGAAAACCTCATAGTCATTCTGCTGCAGGTGGTGCAGAACAATTGAATAATTGGCACTTGAGAGGTGCACTGCCACCTAGTGGTTGGGGGTTTAAGAACATATAAAAAGTAAGAGTATATAAAAATGTTGCCATTTTGATCTAATATCTGACAAAATCATTTTTGCACATTTTTTCAAGTAGTTGAAAAAAGCATTTTTTAATGGTCCAAACACAGACCACCCAAAATTATAAAGGGTGTAATCTGTAAGAGGATGCAATTCAAAAAGTTCAGCCTCCCTGAATATTATATTTTGAAAAAATATATACAAAAGATATATATATATAACAGATTTTTTTTAATATAACAGTAAAAAAATGAAAATGATACCAATAAAAATAATAATTTCTTTTAAAGTACAATACAGTGAAAAAAATTAGATCTGCAAAAAATAAAAGATCAAACATTTAATATGAAAAAACTGTTTATAAACAAAATGAAAAATACATATCTGAAATGGCAAATCTTAAAAGTACAGTTTAAACATTTGCATACGCCTTCTGAATTCTAGATTAAATATAAACATAATTTTTTTATAAGCCTTTCCTAAAATCACTTTTTTAAAATGTGTTTTTCATCAATATTGGAAGATATTTCTGTCATCTTTGTAGAGCAGCTGAATCTATAAGAGTAATGGAGGTTGGTTTAATGGGAGAAAATGTAACAGTCGGAAATCTCTGCTTTGCTCTCCTCTGGCAGAGGTCATTGTTCTGAAGGACGAAGGCTTTAAGGAGCTCAGAGCTGCTCCTTAAGTTTTCATCATCGTTTAAAACATTCAGGGAAATTTTCTCTTCTGCGGACGATGACTCAGTCAGAGCATCAGTTTAAACATTTAGATGTTTCCTCCTCTGTAATCTGACGGTTTAATCCATCTGAGCATCAGTTTCCTCCAGTAATGAGGAAGACGTCTGACTTCCTCAGCAGCTCCTCTGTGTTTGTCTCAGTTTCAGTTCTTTGTCTGAAGACCTCGTTAACACGTCGCCTGTTTCGCTGCTTAACGAGGATCCCCGTCGCTCACTGAATTTTGATCAAACCAATGTTGTCTGTTTTTCAGTTTCGTTATAAGAGGAGAGTTTATACTCAGAGTTACGTGGATGATAAGCAGCTGGCAAAGCTGCACACAAAGGTGATGAAGATCCACTTCAGGACAACATTTCTTCTCTAAGTTTGTAAATTTAACACAATGATTCAGGCTGAATATTTGTGGTGGTTTTTCAGGCAAATCTGAAGCGATTTATGGAACATGTTCACCAGAAGAATGCAGAAAAGGTGGCCAAATGGTTGGAGAAAGGTCTGGACCCCAACTTCCACGACTCGGACAGCGGAGGTGAGCAGAACCGGGCTTAGTGAATCGACCGTCTCACGGGTTCAGTAGGTTCTGATCCATTCCCGACTCTGAACAGATCCTTTATTTACTCTGATGAAACCAGGCTGCCTGAGCAGAAAACACATTTTTCTTCCTGAACATCTCAAAATTATTTTCTGGTGAGCCTCTAAATTCTGATCCGACTCCTTCAGGCAATCAAATCCTCCTGAAATCCAGAAATGGACCAATGTTGGCTCGATTTGAAGATATTTAGAAAAGAACTGGGTTTAAATGCCAACGGATTTAATGAGCCAGTTTGTTTTGTGAGAAGAATAAAAATCCTAAAGATTGGTCTGATGATGGAGAGCTGATCTCCTCCTCAGACTGATGAACCTCTCTGTGTCCTCAGAGTGTCCCCTGACTCTGGCTGTCCAGCTGGAGGACAGCTGTGAGCTCATTAAGGTCCTTCGCAGCGGAGGAGCTCACCTGGACTTCAGGACCAGGGACGGCATCACGGCTCTCCACCGGGCCGTCCTCTGCAGGAACAGCGCCGCGCTCACGGTGAGGAAAGCTTCCTGTCTCTCCCCCAGACCCCTCAGTTTAACGCCGTTCGCTCTCTGACCCGTGTTCTGGTGCTCAGACTCTACTGGACCTCGGAGCATCTCCGGACTACAAGGACAGCAGAGGTCTGACTCCGCTCTACCACTCTGCCATGGTGGGCGGCGCCCCCTACTGCTGCGAGCTGCTACTTCAGGACCACGCCACCATCGGTATGTTTGAGAGGATGATGCTTTCTGATCGATGTCTGTGGGGGAAAAAAACACTTTATCACTAAGAGTTCTCGTTTCCATGGTTACAGGGATCACTGATGAGAACGGGTGGCAGGAAATCCACCAGGTGACAAACAAACACACACTCACTCAGCGCTCCACTGATGACGGGTTCTGCTCGGTTCTGATTGTCTGTGTGGGTGTGTTTTGGTGTTTGTGTGCATGTTCAGGCATGTCGTTATGGCAACGTGCAGCACTTGGAGCACCTCCTGTTCTACGGCGCCAACATGAGTTCCCAGAACGCCTCAGGAAACACTGCGCTGCACCTGTGTGCTCTGTACAACCAGGTAACCAAACACACGGACGAGCCGGTCACATGAGCGACACGCTGACTGCTTTCACATGGCTGGTGTCGGTTCTGCAGGACAGCTGCGCCCGGGTTCTGCTGTTCAGAGGCGCCAACAAGGACATAAAGAACTACAACAACCAGACGGCCTTTCAGGTACGAAAAGACAAAAACCGGGAAGAATAGAGGTTCAGATCTTAAATTAAACTGATGTGCAGAAATAATAAACAAGATTCATGCAAAGAAATCTTTTTTATTATATTTTCCAAATTTATTTGCATTTTGAGTAAGATGATGGTTGGTATAAAACCCCCAAACTCTACGTCCTGAGTTCATTAACTGTTCTCCTCCCTGGGAGAACAGAACTGACTCGTCTACATTCATCTGGTTCTACAGTAATGATCCGATCAGAGAGAATCATCCTAAATGAGGAAACACAGTTTAGCTTCATATAAAAATAAAAAGAGAAACAGTCCAACAGGCTTTTCTAAACTAGAAACTCCTCTTAAAACACAAACCACAAGTAAAGAAATCCTCAGAAGAGTTTAAACAATCATCATCAGTGTGTTCATACGTGTCAATCCGGTCATACGTGTCGATCC